TCAGCGGCCCTTGCCACATGCTCTCATATCACTTACTTGGCAGTTTCTGCACTAAGAATGCACCAGTACAGTATATAATATAACCTGTGCTGTACACAGCTGTACCTGTATATATACACCTTCAGAGAAAACATGTGGTTTAAGGGGACTTTGGAAATTGGCTTGGAGATTTCTTTTGAGAAGATATTAAAAAAACAACAGCATCTTTATTATTTATAATTTATAATTATTTTCTTTGATGAATTCTTTAAACCCTTATCTGTTTCCCTCCTTTCTTTGGCCATTATTAATTAAATGACATTTTGCTATGGAAATTATCAGGATGTTGAGGTGTGGATATGTGATTACCTGCAGTGAACAGACTGATGTTTGATATGGTAACACAGCTGAATGTGATTCCTCTCGCCATTGTCTTTCCCCTTGCAGCTTTGACTTTAGGTCTTTTTATTTTCCATTTGGGTGGATTTAAGAGACATTACTAACCACTTTAACCCTGCACCACATTTGTATGCCTAGTAGTTAGTGATGTGATCATTTGTGTTGCCTATTAACTACAGAGTAAGGAAACAACACCATTCTTCTTGGATACCATTAGACCTTTTGCTTCTGTTCACAGACTTATCTGCACTTGGAACAGTCAGTCTTAGAGAGCATTGTGGATGTTGGTAATCCACAGTCCTCCCTCTAGTCAAGCTGAATCTTTTCATGCTTATATTTATGTTGAACCATAATTAAACCCTCAACTTTCCTGCGCACTATGTGCCCAGTCTGAGTCAGTATCCACCCGCAATGTTTTCCCTTTACCCTTCCCTTGAGCTTGTCTGTAAAGAATTCACAGTCATATTTATGATTACAGATGAATATTACATCTTATTCTTCTATACTCTGATAAACAGATTGAATTATATATTAAAACATCAGTGGTAAAACCAAACAGTATGTCAGCACTGTACTGTTTATGTCATTTCCCACTAAACAAGGTTGTCTAATTGAAGCCTTTGTCAGATGTTCAAAAGGAACCACCTGAGTAGCCAGAATTTTTGTAACATCTTTTAAGATGTCTTCTGTACATTCAATTTGGATGTCCATCAGATGTCTTCACGTGATCCTAAATAAAGGTTTTTCAGTGTTTTCTCATTTTAGGCATCCAATTGCAGCATAACCTCATAATCACTTTTAGCTATTTGTACAGTTAAAATCACTCCACATATTTGTGGATGAATAGTCTTAAGTCATTTCTTAGTTGCTTGGTTGGGGCTAAATACTACAGCACTGTAGATGCAATGAACAAATATGGAGTTATGAACTTAAAGAGAAGACAGGTTACAGTTCCAACAGGACAACAGCTTCAGGATACACCGGCCTCTACAGCTGCCTGGCTTTGTGTCCCCCTTCTCCCTTTTTAGCTGCAAGAATGGCTTATATAAAACAATTGACTTTTTAAGATTATTATTTTGGGCATCTGTGGATGCCCAAATGATGTCTTGTACAGATGTCCAATCTGGAGGTTGAGCAGGTCATCTCCTTGGCAGTAAGCAGTGTAAAGCACTTTGAGCGCTATGGTAGGAAAGTGCAGTAAAAGTGCAAGACTATTACCATTCAAAAAAATTAGGTGTAAAAGACAATTAGATGTCTAACCCTGTATTTTACTCTTAGCCTGGAAAGATTTAATTGCATTTCATCAACAGAATTAAAACTCTGAATTGGATTAGAAGTTATTTGACACAGAGGCGTCAATTTGTGAAGTTGGGTGAATACCAATCGAGTGAGCTGGATATTGTATGTGGAGTGCCTCAGGGTTCTGTTTTGGGACCTAAATTATTTATATTATACATTAATGATATATGCAAGGTTTCTGATTTAGTGAAAGTGGTTTTATTTGCTGATGACACTACCATATGGGCATCGGGTGAAAACCTACAGCAACTCTCTGGACGGGTTACACAGGAACTTGAGAAGATAAAGAAATGGTGTGACAGTAATATACTATCTCTGAATATGGATAAAACTAAATTTATGGTATTTGGGAATCGCAGACTAGACAATGAACTTCAATTGAAAATCGGGGGAGCTAATATAGAACGAGTATATGAAATAAAATTTCTAGGTGTCATAGTTGATGACAAATTCTCCTGGAAATCACATATTAGATATGTTCAGAATAAAATAGCAAAAAATATATCGATATTGGCAAGGATTAGATATATTTTGGATGGGAAAGCACTACGCATTTTGTATTCCTCATTGATTTTACCATACTTAGAGTATGGCGTTGAAAACTGGGGAAACACATACAAAAGCTCACTTCAACCATTGTATATATTACAAAAAAGAGCGATAAGAATTGTGCATAAGATGGGGTATAGGGATTAAGTGCGGACATAAAAAATAGTAATAGAATTGACGAGTTTAAACATAAATATAAAGGTATGTGTCAATCAAGATATATGCAAGAACAGGCTCATTGATTAATTAGATGGAACATTGTGGGTGTGGTGTATGAATGTTAACACTATGTAATATTTCTTTAGTATATTACTTGTGTGGTGTAGAAGAGAATTATTTATGTAGAGATACTGCTTGCAAACCAATGATGGTAAGATGATGGGACTGGATAGGACTGGATAAGTCTAACTTCTTCCTACTCTGTTCAAGCATGTACTAGGTATAAGTAAATTGATATTGGATTAGCATTTGTTGGATATGTGTAAAATTATGTGTGTTGACATATCAACTGTCTTTACATGCTTGAAAGAATAAATCAAATCAAATCAAAACAGCTTCCCCAAAGTAACTGTCACCTCTCATAAAACATGTAGACAGTACTGTGTTTTTTTTAGTGTATTATATTAACATGTTGGGTCAGGGATTTTGGAAGACTAATATCTACTTTGCAATAGTAAGTAATTAGAGCTTTCAGCACAATTGCTGATTGAAGACTGATTGAAGACTGATTGAAGACGTTTTTGGAAGCCCCATAAAGAGCCAAGCTTTTCCTCACAGCTGTTCTGGCTGTGAGCAATAGCCTCCGGCAGCACTCCTGCCTGCTGAGCTGACTGTGACCACAACCAAAAAATGCCAGGTCTGTAGCCTTGAGCAGCAATTGTTCTGTGAGAACAAAATAAAGGAAAGTGCTTCCAGAGCTCTGGGTTATTTGTTATTACCCAGTAACCCCTGCATGGGGTTGTATATGTTCTTCATTTATTTTCCATTTGACTCTGAACAGTAACAAAATTGTAATTCTGCTGCTATAGATCAGTTACATTTGCAAAATGAAAACATGTGTGTCTGTCTTCGAAAAGCCTGCCTCCGGCTCCTGGCACAGTCTAGTCCCCTACCAGCTCCACTGCAATTAATGACCTTGCTTACAACATTAGCGCCACAATCACGAAAAATCACACTGAAGCATAGAGTACCAAACATATTGAGTTCAATTCTTCGAGGGCTTTGTACTCATTGGCAATGTCAGACTTGGTCTCAGCATTATTGAGTGCCTTGGTAATCAAGTACCTGCCATCAGCTCCCAGGAGTGATGATCTTTTTGAACATACAATTAACAAAGCGATATGATTTGTCTCTAGATTCAGTAAATGACTCATCTTTTATAGCATATCAGGCACTCAGAGAAATTAAAACATGTATAGATAGATTCTTTATTGTCATGGGCATCATGTTGCAGCCTCTTAAAATGTTCACAAACAAACACAAGAAGTCATAGATAAGGTACATAAAATAGAAAGATAGAAGTTTGCCTGCTGTGACAGTGAATTGGAGTAGTTACTCCACCTAATTCAAGTCACTTAGTATTATTGAGGTTGTGCAGTGCTTTAACTGATACAGGAGCTAATGAGTTCCTGTATCCATTGAGTTTACATCTAGGAATCCTATATCTTCTGCCAGATGGTAACAGTTGGAATTCATTCGTGAGGATGTGGGAACGGTCATTTATAATTTTCCTGCCCTATGAGAGCACACACTGGTCATAGATAGTCCGAAGGCTGTGATGATTTTTATAACCAGTTATTTCCATGGCTGTATGCAGAATAGCTGTCAGCCTTGATTTGTGTTTAACTTGTAGCTGTCTAAACCAAGTGGTCATCCCATTTCTCATTATACTTTCCAGTACACTTTGGTAAAACTTCAACCTTTTTGAAGAAAAATGGTCTCTGATGTAGGCGTGAGCAGACAATCAACATGAGAGTTCCCAGTCAAATTGTTGTCTATGAGCACACCAAGGTATTTATATGACTGCACTTGGTTGGTCATGAATGGCCACTGCTTTATGGTCACCAACTGGTCAAAAATTATTTCCTGAGTCTTTTTGATGTTTAACATAAGATGATTTGTGTCTCAGCATTCAGTGAATGATAAATAGTTACTGTATGTCGACATGTGTGTAAAGTAAAGTTAAAATAGCTGTGTCATTGGAGTACTTTGCACGGTTGTATAGTGATTGCAGATTTATCTATGCACAACTTCTAAAGGCTGTCTTTTTTCTAAACATGTTTGACACAGCCCGTGTGCTATACTAGGAATTAAAGACTTACACGTTTTTAAATATTTTTAAATTATAATCTTATTCTTTTTTATTTTTTGAAACCTAAAAACACGTGATGGTCATATCAAGGTGCCATTCTTCATGTCTGCAATCTAAAAATACAGTTTAAAAATTCAAGATTGTAGATTGTTTGCTGTTCTGTCAGCGTCTTTTCCTTTTGCAGAAGTGATTGCATATAAAAAAACATATATGTAGCCTATTAAATTTCATATTAAGAAAGAGAAGTATAGTATTGCATAGCCCAGTGGGATGCAAAATAGAGTTAGCGTTTGACAGACAAGAAGGAGGGTGTATAAGTGGCAAGCTCTCCTTAGAACTGTAGATAACTGCAGTGCCAGAGAGCATCATCTATCCCCATCTCCTAATTGCATGTAGCATTTAATAGCACTGTTTTTTATAGATGACATCGACAACCAGTGCTCAAGTATATATGTTTATTTGCATCACCAAGAATCATACACATTCATTGGTCTCCCAGCGCCGTAGCACATACACACAGGACAACACCAGTTTGCCCATCCATTGTCGTCAGCGGACAAGCCTGTGGATGTTTATCCTACACCGGGAAAAATATTCAGTAGCACAGAAAATCTAAAAAAAAAATCTTCATTAAAAAGAACAGTACTGTTAAACAAAATCACAAAATCAATTACAAACCAACATCAGTGCAGTTTTGTAGCATAAATGAATCTGCAAATACTGATATGGAATGATCACACTGGGAGGGAGTGCTCAGCAGGTCAGAGGGCACAAGGTTAAACAAAGAGCAGTAAGAGTCCATAAGATAAGCAGCTTCTAACACTGAATCAGTCATTAATCTTTTTTCTTGTAAACAAAACCATGGCACCAGAACAATTATTAGCACATGTTAAATGACATGGAACTCTTCTGTCCTTGCTCTAAGTACTGTAGTACAGAGAGATTCCAAACCATAGAAATCTCTCATCTACTATGGAGTGGTGAAGGGCGATCACTTTAAGTCCATTTTCACTGTAAACATAATGACACTGATCTAAATGAAACCTCACTAAAGTGGCTGAGATGAGAGTAGGTGCAAAGCAACATGCTACAGGGAGATATTATAGGGGTTACGTGTCTCATTATATCTCGTGCTCCCTATTCTAAGATCCCTCAAGCCCTCTCCAGGTGCCCCATTATTACATTTAAAGGCTCAAAAAGCTGAAGATTCAATTGAAGCCACTCAAATACAAATCCCTGATGGGTCTTACACACTACAGTTGGATGAATGATGTTGTTGACCGTAACCATTGCTTAAAATGTTGTTCTGAGTATCATACAGCCTTTTCATTTCCTTTTTCACTGAGTCTTGACAGAAATTCTCATTTTACAATGTGAAGTATTGCTGCTATATACTGTATGTGCATTCTATGCAAACGTAGAAATAATAAACATATTGTAGCATATTCATCATATATCTTGGTGGCCAGTCTTGGCCACAATTGTGGCATCATATACATTTGTGAATTTACATTTATTCATATATACAAGCAGGCCTATTGCATTTTTTTATGTTTTAGAACTTTTTTTCATCCACAGATTTGGACAGTCCAACACTTGAAACCTGCCTGGTCCTACTCAAAAGGACCATTTACTAAAATCAAAACCAAAAATCTTCCACAGGTCTGAGATCATTTCTGCACAGCTGTGACAAAAATAAATAACAGAAAGTGACACTATGCACAAAGTGATTATTTTTAAATTTTTTTTTAAGTGTGCTGAAAGTTGCTTGAATGTGTGCATAGGGGTTGTCAAGCGTAGAAAATGAGTTCAGGAATCTGTCCCCCTTGCACCCCTGTGCCGTTAGTGCTGTCTGAGGAGCACTGGAACTGAAATGTCACTTTCCCACACTGCACCTCTGTCATCCCTTCCTGTCCAAAGTAGCTGAGCTCATTTCCATCAAGAACCACACTGGCAGTGTAGAAGGTATCAGGCTCGATCTGGACCGGATACTCAAACCACACCGGGAAGGTGTTGCTGGAACCATCAGAAAAGTACTTGCTGAGGTTTTGTCCTAGCAGCACTCCTTGACGTTTCAACTCAATCTTGGCACTGTACTCTGCTGAGCCACAGCTAGAGCCGTATAGTCCAAACCCAGCAATGAAAACTCTTTTATCCACTGCAAACTGTATACTGTCACAGCGACCCCTGTAACGCCACTGATTGCTTCGGTAGGCACAGGATTGGAATCTGTGGCAGCGCTGAGGTGTCAGGCCCTTCCTGGGCTGGCTGACAAACTGCAGCTCAGGCTTCTTGGCTGCTGTGTACCACAAGAAGATGTCATTGGTCTCATTAAGCGTTAGCACACCTGACTGGGCTGCCCCATTGGCAAAATCATCCAGAGCCATTGTAGGGATGCGTATCAAGTACATGGCCTTGCCCAAAACCTTACGCTTGTTGTCAGTCGAAGAGGTGAGCTCCTGTCTCTGACACTCAGCCTCAGCCCAACTGAGTGCCGCCTCAAAGACCACTATCTCTTTGGCGTTGAGTGTCTCTCGCTGTAGGATACTCTCCAGTGTCTGGGCATCGATGTCACAGAAGCCTTCTGAGCGTAACGCTAGCTCAGCCTGGGCATCAATCACCTCCCAGCAGCGCTGCGTCAGCTCTGGCTCCTCAAAGAGGCAGCTCTGGGAAAGTAACACACAGGCATTCTTGGCACTCAGGCTCGTCTCCAGGAAGTTGACACAGGCACGTGCCAGGTGAGGGACAATGTACTTCTTAGCAGCATAAAGAGTGGCCAGTACGGTGTCGGCACTCAGGTCAATCTCATCACAGTAAATATACCTGTGGATATAAAAATGTGACTTTCTCAGCTTCAAACACCACAGAAATGAAATGCAAAATGACATGATTTGTAAATGATGATAATTTTAAAAACTGTGTTGCTACATGTGTTCCAAAACAAGTTGGAAAACATTGAAATGAGATTCTAATCAAACCGTTCAACAAAATAGCCTCCTACTCCCTCATCTACCACCTACTGTAGCTCCCCTGCAAGGATGGAGAAAGCAGTACTCAGAAATAAAAGTGTTGGATGAACAGCAAGGCTATAGATATAAATTCCTCTGAGACAGAGGAAGAAACACTTCATTTTACTTGTGTGGGTGAGTGTTCAGCCGTTTTGTTCAAGATGTATTTATTTGAGATAGCTGTAGACTAGGTTCATCAATCAAATTGAAATAGCTGTTATAAATACATAATACATAATACATCAATGCATTATATATAATACATAAATACATAAAGACTGCATTTTCTGTTACAAAACCAAAAGAATGGCACCAGCTGAAGAAAGTACTTCATGCTAAAGTGTGCAGTGAGGACAAAGGAGAATCCTTACTTCAGCATGGCCAGAAATGCTGCTGGTTCCACATCTGGAATATGGATTTCATCTTGGTTCTCAGCCAGTTCACCATAAAACATGGCGTGGAAAACTGAGCTGCCCACAGCCAAAACATACTATTGGAAAAAGAAGTGAAAACAAAGTGACAGATAGAAAAAAGAAATAAAAACATACCATAGTTCATGTGTTATTCCACTGGAATCCGCATGGCATGTAGTAACAGACAAAAGAGTAGGTCCACATGTAGCTCTTTGTCTTTGCATAACACAAATCTCTTCATAGGTTCCTAACAATGCTTCAGGTCTAGTAACTGGAGTTCTTGAACTGAGTTGTCTTCAGTCAGCTAATATTTTCCCTGAGGACAAAGATTTATATTTCTAATAAACAAGACTGATTAAAGAAAAACTTACTAAAAACTGAATAAATACATAAAACAATAACATAACTAAACACAACTGTGTACTACAAAAGCTGGATTTATTAAAATTAATTACTTTTCTGAGCTTATGATAAAATCAGATGCAACACAGTGCTACTAGTGACTTCATTTTGTAGTTATCCTCAAATACATTTGATGTTTAAGACCTATGTGTCTGTGCCGTGTGTGTGTGTGTGTGTGTGTGTGTAGGCGTGTGCAGCATAAATATGTGTAGGTGGGTATGTGGGTGGCACTGTATATACTTTCACAAAAAAAACACACAGACCTTCTCTAAAGTGATTAAAGTGCACTGAACCTATTCTTAAATAAACCTTGCTGCTGTTGTTGTTGTTGTTAAAAACTGAAATTCATTTTTCTTGTTTCATAAAAGAGAGGTCAGCTAAAAGGCAGTTGCTCTTTTAAGTGGCCATTTAGAAACCAGCATATAAATACTGCATATTAAAATAAAATTAGTCCCATGTCTTGACCCATTGAATTTTAACAGATGTTCACATAAATGATATTTTTTAGCTGCTACAGTAGCTGCACCCTCCATCTTGGAAGGACATAACTTTGTAAATTAAATCATAATGGATATCTGAATTCCTGCCAAAGAGACACAATAAAGATTGTTGTGCTGAACATCATTATGTCCCATTGGCATAATGTCTCAGCATAAAGTGCAATAAAGTCATCCTTAGTGTCCTTCCTTAACTGCTTTCTATAAATGTACAAAGCGCACTGCAGATATTGATCTTAAAGCACAAAAAAAGATGCTCATTGGACAGTGTAGATGTGGCTTGGATAGCCGCGCTATATTTATTGGTGCAAAATCACTTAATGTGAATTCAAATAGAGTAGGTGTGCTTTTAGATGAGGCGCATGGTCCAGGCACGTATCAATCTTAATGAATCATTTATGTGAACATTGAAAAAGCAATTAGGTCAGAGGGCAAACTAAACAAAGAAGTCAGAGGATGTTAACTGGTTAATATTAAGAAAAACAGTATGAATATGGGCCCAATTATACTATTTATAGCTATTTATAGTAGATTAATTTTACTGTCATTCCAAAATTCAAAAGCAATGCTGGTAAATAAATAAAAGAATAGTTGTATGCACCTATTCTATGCCTTATCATTCTAATTGCATGCTGTGAAATGTGTCTGATTAAAAGTTGGGTAATTGCAGGCCAGTTTCTGAAAAGCTGAGCTCCAGCAGAGACAAAGGCGAGCCATTCTGTGTGAGATGACTGCTGAAAGGATATCCCTTCCTCCTTCACTCACTCTATGCCTCTGTCCTTTAGCCTCATTTACATAAATAATTGAGTACTGTCTCAAAAAGACACATGGTGCGGAAGTGAGAATGGAGCACAAAGAGGTTCCATTACTGTTGGCAATGAGAGCAAGATTATTTTTATGCCGATGTGATATGAACAGTGGGCTGAACTGGCTGATTACTTGTTTGTTAATTTCCTCCCTGCTACCGTGATTTTACTGATTGATGAAATTCTTACTCTGTGTCCCGGCAGCCGCTGGGTCCTTCCAGTCTGACCTACCACAAAGTGAACATCTGCCATCAACTCATTGTTGAACATGACTGAATTTCTAAAAAGGGAAAGAAACAAAAGACAGGAGGAAAATTTATTTTATATATATTTTCCCTGTACATTTGCTGTAAAAGAAAAGAAGATAAGGGGAGAAAAGGTGTAACTTGGTGACATTAAGGGAATTAATAGGAGTAAACTAATTTTTATATATTTTATGTGAGTAATAACACCAATTAGTCATTTGTAGAAGTTCAAACAAAAGCAGTAAACCACACACTTTTATTCAGCGTTCTGATTTCAAAGACTAAGACATTTTGCCAGACATAAAACATATTTTAAGGTTAATTCATTTTTCAACTTAAATTCTTTGTAGCTACATAAAGACAGACAAACAAGACAATGAAGTGAGTGGAACCCCCCACTGTGAAAGAACAGGTCCAGCAACAAAGCTACATTCATATATTATTGAGTAATGGAACATGTCACAGGGGTGGGTAAACAGGCCTATGTTCCAGAGAAACAACAAAGCCAGGTTAGAGAGCACACATTTTGCTCTGGACAGCTGGGGTCTTTTACTGATAGGCCAAGGTAAATATTTTGCTTTTAGTACAGAGCATCCCCTGTTGTACATAACAAACACACTCAGTGCCTGTCCGCCCTCTGTTATATCAGAGTGGCAAAGTCTGCAGGAGCAGGAGAGGGTGTAAACAGAGATATCCCCAGCGGACTGAGGGCAGGGCAGAGGGAACACCCACACATGTATATACACAAACACACGCTGATTTGAATATATACAAGAGTAATTTCCTTACATAAGTGTTTTGTGGTCCAGTTTGATATTTAATGAAGGTACTGTCCAGAAAACTGGCAATTAAAATGTAGTTATGCAGTCTTCATCTTCCCTGAATGTTGGGAGCAGTAGTAATGATTCCTGGCTGAGAAAGCTTCTTCTGTTTACTTACCTTTCTCTTATAGTGGAGTAGAGTCCCTGCCAGTTACAGTTCTGTATGGTGTTGTTGTTGTTGAGGTTCTGCTGCTGGTACTGTTGCACTGGAGTGCTAGATGCTGGCTTTTTGGTGGAAAAAATGTCTGCTGCCATCTTCTTCTTCTTCTTGCCCCTCAGAGTGATTATCTCATAACAAACCGGGGGCAGCTTGGAGCTGCCACTGGCATTCCCTTTCTTGGAGCTTTTACTTGACTTGCTTTTCACTGACTCGGGAAGCATTAAGAAGAAAGTCAGACATTTCATGTTCCTCCCCTTGGCATCGACCATGAGTGTGTTCAACTGCCGAGCAGTGAGAGTGTATGCAGAGAAGACATTCACCAGGAGCAGGCAAGCGCGAGGGAGGATTCAGGAGGGACTTGGGAAGAGGACGGCAGAGAGCGGAGCTGTACTCGGCAGCACAGAAGTCAAAGATCCTGTGTGAGGTTTCACCTTTTGGAAACTAACAGGACGACTCTTGTTTTGCCTTTGTCTTAACTCCTGTGAAGAGACAAGTTCACAGTGGTAATCCGAAGGCACTTTTCCTGTGTGAAGTCTGATCTGCTGATGAAGAGGCTCTTGGGTTTCCCATCCCTGCTTGTCCAAAGTGATGAGATCATCTTTTCCAATAACTTCTTTTTCTCCTCTGCTCTCACTCACTGCTCTGCTGAGGGTTGGCCTGACAGCCCCAGATTTAGTACAGCTGCAGTGATCCTCAGGCAAGCAGTACTGTCTTCTCAGTTCCTTTAATTTCCCACTCTTCCTCCTTATGTGCTTCTCTTCCCCTCTCAGTCTCTCTTCATCTGTGGGTCTACCTTTTTTTCTCTGACACCTGTTCTTTTTTCCTCTTCTTCTCCTTCATGGAGTAGAGTCATCTGCAGGATGCTGTGATCGTGGATGCTGGTTTGCTCTGCTCAGCCACTCGTTCTGCTGACTACAGAGGTTGAATGGGAGAGTGCAGAAGAGATAGAGAACCCCCCTCCCCCTTCCGCCCCTTACAAGCACAGTACATGACTCTCTCAGCCAATGGTAGTGCACAGTATTTATGATTGGCTAATGCAGCCTAGTGCAGCACATACTTGAATATGCAATAGTCAACGTCTCAATTAAAGTGACAGTCTAAGAGTGATATATTCATCTATTGTTTTAATGCCACTCTTTGCCTTACCTGCAGCCACAGCGTTCAGTGTGCACTACAGTAAATATAGAGTCCGTATTCTAATTCAAAAGGGCAGTGCATATTTGCATGCTGCTTTAAGGGCAGAATTTGCTTAATTCATGCATACTCTGACAGTCATACTTCTTTTTAATGAGCATTTCATAAAAGTATACAAACAGCTGAATTTGAATTTTGTTGGCTGCTTTGATTGGATTTATGGCCTGTAAACATTGTCCACATAAGATTTTCATCTAAAAATGTACGTGAAAATGATCATACCCAAGCTATCCTTATACTACTAGAATTTATAATGAAGCAACATTTCTTCATCTTTAAATTTTTCATATTAGAATTGACATCCAGTTTTTGGAAAAATGCTGTGTAATGCTACAGACATTTTCTGTTGAAAAGTGTTTCTTGTCCTAACCAACAATATATGCTTGTACTTATGTTTTTTGGTAAGTTGTCCCTTCAGGAGAGTGCATGGGGCTAAAAAATGCAATGCCCTCATTGCACAATATATACAGTTTCTCTGCTCATCTTGTCCAGTTAGGCCTAGGCACTGTGGAAATTCCTAATGAAGTGCTGGGATGATTTAGATTTTTGGTGGTGGTGGTTTAAAATGCTGTGATATTTGCTGTAATAGTAATTTGATGCTTTAGTTCCTTTATTTTGCTTTGGTAATATTGTCTCTGCTTTCATGTAGCTTGCATTGATAGTATTATCTTATAGTAAATAGCACTAATGGTAATAATTAATTTGCATATTGTGTTTTTAAGAATGAAAAATGGACAATAAGAACACAATGAGATGCATAAATTTAACTAAGTCTTTCTTGAACAACTGTCACAATATTTTTACATTTTTTTCATTAAGTCCTAATCAACTGTCTTCATGTTTCCTGCACTGAGGAGCATTTAAACACTAAGCCCCCTTATACAATATGTGCTTTAGAACAGAGGAAATTTGCTATGGTAACATGGAGCCAACATTACAGGGCACCATACTCTCAAATTGCAGGCCGCAAGAGAGGTTACCTTGGTAACCATTCCACAAGCAACAGTGGGATAGATATGTAGTATACAGATTTAAAAACAATGATGATAGTAAAAGTCTTAATGTTATACTGCAGTGTTTAACAATTTCACAATTAAGCATAAGCAGCCTTAGTGCTGTGATTTATTTTGTTTTACACAACCTGACTAACCACTGAACCAAACTTGTCATGTTTAAAAAGCAGCAGTGGTTACTGGTGTCAGAGTACACATGTTAAACCAGCAGTTTGGTGACTTCTCTGACATCACAGTCTAGCAGCCCATATGATGAAGAGGATGTCATTTTATATATCACCCAAAATGGTTTCCTGCTTCCTTTAATTGCATTTTCTCTCCATTCATCAGCAGAACATGTAATCTTGTTATTCACACATTCAGAGGTAGAAGTGAGAGGAGGAAGTAATGATGGTGTTGTCATGGCGTCAACATCACCATTGTCTCACACTTTGCCATCACGTAGTCACACATTTTCACTGGAAAGGAAAACATTAGCACAACTGTAGTAGCACAGAAATCACCACTGTAGTTGACAAAGGCTGTTTAATCACTGATGATAAAAAAATTAACATATTGTACTTTGGCCATTTTGATTTAGTCTGTGCTCATATTTCAAATGTGTTTTTATTTTGAGATATTTTATTTTCTTTTATCCAGCATCAGCATATTAAGTTTAAAAGCTAAAATTAAAAAAGCAGCAGTTGTCCAGCTGTGCCCTTATTGATAGCTTCTTAATGACTCTACTTCGTCAGTAAGCTATAATACCAGGCACTGAAATACAAGTCAGAAAAAGAACCAATAGTTAAGTGCCTTACACTTCAGTACACTATGTTACTCTGTATTTCTGTTGTTGTCCACGTAGAGCACATGCTGTTTCTAATTTTGTTTTTTGTCAGTTTAGTGAGTTTCCTTTAAGTATTATGTGCAGAAATATTAAGCATCCAATTTTAAGACTAACTCATAGGAGTTAATTGATAAATAATTATATAATTACACATAATGATGTCTTGCCAGAATAAAATATCCTTTAGTGGCTTTTAGACAGTGAATGGCCTATGGCGACAAACCACAAGACATCAATTTGTAATTCTAACAAAACATTCAAGTGCTTGTAGGTTTTCAGTAAAATCCCTGTTTATGATTGAAAGGAGTGCAGCTTTGATTGAGTTTGACAGTATTGATCTTACTATTTGCTTCAAACACACTGAATGCTGAGGTCAATAGATATACTGTGAAGGTGGCAGCTTGCCATTCTGGGTTTGAGCACAGAGATGTGGCCCCACATAGCGGCAGAACTCTTCTGCAGAGAGACACCTGCTGAGAGGCTTGGCTGAGCACAGCGGAGGAGAGCGGAGGGTGGGAAATGAAGTGTGATGTAGGCTTGGCGCACGGCGGCAGGGACAGGATCCAGCAGCTTGTCCAGTGTTCAATTCCCCCCCACAGCCCCCTGCCCTCTCCGATTTGACCGTTAAAGCAGGCAAGGGCACCTGACAGGTGGAAGGGGTGGAAATGATGGCGTCTGCCCAGAGACAGGGCTTAGAGCTCCTAAAAAAAAAAAAAAAGAACGGGTAGTCAGCAGGATCTGGGGAGCAGCAGGCAGTCGATAACACAAACAGTGTGATGTTTGTGTACATAAACATGTGTGAAAGAAAGTGTCCATGTTAATGTTTGTTTTTAAAACTGAAACTTGTGGTTTATCCAAACTCACTTTCTGAGACTGGACTATTTGTTATGGTTTAGTCCCCCTCACCAGGAGGGTGAGGGAGAACTGGGGTTGGACTCAAGATGGCTGACCCAGGTGTTAGTACAAAAAAGGTGGTTTAATGGATTAAAAACATGACAACATAACAGGGTCCATAATACATACAACAAGGGAAGGGCAGTGATGACTAAGGAGACCAGGACGGTAAACACACAAACTAACGACAAGAACTAGGATAGCAGGAGAATGAGAACGGACAGGTGAACAAAAAGAACCAACGTAAACAATGTAATCCACAGCACAGGGACAGTCAGCGTGGAAGACAAAGCACGTATTTCTGTGTTGCTAACCGCATAACTAGCGTGATAAGGTCAAGCCAAAACGCACAGAGACTGTCAGCATAGCATCTTACACACGTCTAAAAATATGCGGGTCAAACACAACATTTGTAACTTACATAGATTAAGTATTGTCCATTACATGTCACAATACTCTAGCGGCGACGGGGCGTCTGCCAGAGGTATAAATAAGGAAGCAAACAAATCACCGGAATATGCCTCAGGTGTGCGCACCGACCCACGAGTCACTAATTACCCGATGCGACACAGCTGAGGCGTTGATCCCGCAAAAAGGGAGCAGGAGAGGGGAAAAAAGAAAGAGAGGCAGGTCACGCCGAGCGGACCTGACACTATTTCCTCATTTCTCTCCCCCCTGCTAGTTCACAAAGACCATCACAGCATAAATTTAGCCATCTCTGTTTTTGCCAGCTTTAATTGTTTAATCAGTTTGTCAGAATTTGAATAACACATTTTAACAAGACATTTAATTGGAAAACTAACATGAATTTTTAACAATGTCAACAAATGGTCTAACACACTTTAACTGACCAGAGAAGACAACACTGTAGTCTCTCCTGCTCATAATCAATAGGTCACAGTTAGAAGATATATGGGGGTAATTTTTCTTGCCTTGAGACCATAAAAAGCCCGAGAGTGTAGGAAGGCTGCAAGAGCCACAGGCATCTCTGTATCACATGCACAAGAGCAACCATTTTAACATTCTTTCCGCACCTACAGTATCTGTGTCTCTATGTATCTGTGTGTAAGTATGTATGTATCTGTCTACCTACACTATGTGTGCGTGTGTGTGTGTGTGTGTGTGTGTGTTGCTGCTGCTGCTGCTATGTGCGTGGACACAGTAATGACAGTGTCGAGAAGACCTTGTAACCCCGGCCCACCAGATGCTCACACGCTGACTCCCACACACTTTCTATCGTTGCTCACTCATCACTCTCTCTTTGCTGTCATTTAAAACTTGATAGCCATAATTTTCAGTGTGCTTAAATATTTTGCCCACAGGTTGATGTGGTCTTCACAAATACACTACCTGTTCTGCCCTGTGGTTGATCCAGATTATTTGATTGAACATGGTTTGATGCCTCCTTAAATGAATCATGGCTCTTTTGTGATAGAGGGGCTATAGCAGGGTAGCCACCCCATCGACTGTGTGGATGTGCATAACATCTAATTGGTGGTTCACCTTTTAACTCCATCTTGATATTGATGGTTTACAATATATATATATTGCTAAGTGGGAAATCAGGAAGGGTCTGAGTAGGAGTAAATGTGCCCAGGCTGAGTTGTACTGTAGGATATTTTATAGGTGACTTATAACAAATATCATGTTCAAATGTGATGTAAATCAGAATCAGCTTTATTGGCCAGGTGTGTCAGACACACGAGGAATTTGACTCTGGTACATCGACTCTGAATGTGCATGTACTGTACATATCCCCATGCAAGGGGCAAGTAAACAATAAACCAGCATAAGGCTGTGTAATATCTGGGATGGGCTGCAAAAGGCCAAGAAAACAAAGAAAAGCAAACAAACACAAGAGAGTACTTACTTATAGTGGAACACTTTGGGCTAAAGGTTGATTATCAACCAGTTTTGGTTGTCATTATTGATATCATGTCCCACTCCTCTCAATAAAGGATAGTTTCCAGTGTGGCTGTTGGGACCAGGTATTGGAAAA